CATGCCGAGGTTGCATGCTTTCTGCTCCACAGGTAACAACATTTACCGTAATGTTTTTTAAACTAGCGACAGTCACGGCAATATGAGGTAAAACTATCCTGAAATGTATGTACTGCCCCCTAGTGCCAAGAAACTACACACTGCCACTTTAATCTAACAGCTGAAATGTCTCCTCAGCCTTCATTAGTTTCTACAGGTGCGGTTCATCACTAAATCAAACAAATAAGCTGTGTGCACGATCTAAAACATGCAGGAAACATGCTGGAAGCAGACAGCTCCATTTTACCAAGTCCATCAGAAGGCAGCCTGACACTCTGAAGTTGAAAGTGCAATATTCTGGCCACAGTGGTGGAGGTCTGCATGGTATTTCATTCGTCTTATAAAGGGTATTTGTAGCACATACTAGCTCAAGAAAATGATTTAAAAACACGAAAAAGTTGCATAGTATGCCTGTAAAGCCGAAAGCCAAATGAATGTGACACAGGTCAGCTTTCTGAAATGACACTAATTATTAGGGATGCACCGATACCGGTATCGGTAAAAGTTAACCGATACCAATGCGGTTGCTTTAAAGTGGCTTCACTGTAACTTGTCGTCATTTCTGTTCACCTAATATTTTAGTTTTGTGATGATTTTTATTCATATGTTTTATTTTTTATCTGCCTCACAGTCTTTTCCAATTAAAAGCAGAGAAGAAAATAAAACATGTGTTCCAATTCATTACATTTATTTTTTTGTGTGGTAGAAGTATTGGTATCGGTAATCGATATCGGCGAGTACTCAGATCCAAGTATCGGTATCGTATCAATTTGGAAAAAAGTGGTATCGTTGCATCCCTACTTGTTATCAAACAATAGGAATACCAAGACTTCACTCTAAAGCCAGGCCTGGAGAAAACCATGGAAGTTTAATCAAAGAATTTAGTTTATGTAAGGGCAGGATCAGCTCTGTCTAAGTGAGTGACAGCCTCGTAGTTTACCGTTAGGTGAGATAAAAGTGTTCTTTATTGTGGCAGCATTTGTCTCTCCTGTCTGAGGAAAGGAAAACAGTAAGTTCATTTTAGGTTGAGTTGGTTATTTCAATGCAGGCTGCCTTGTTGATGCATCTTCAGTTGAAAATGGTTGTGATATTCTAGTTGCAGGTGTGTGGACTTTACCACCCGCAGAAGCACAAGTTTCTCTGATAAGATGTGTGATGTCACATAGCTCCCCGGCAGTCAGCTGTTGGTATAAACGAGAGTAATCATGTTCATCTCTTACACCACAGTCTCCTCAGGAAATGTAGGCTTTAACGAGCCTTCTTGATGATGCTGGAAGTGTTTTTTCCTATCAGATGAGATAACTGGTGATGTGCTTTACAAGGTACTTGAAGCAGGAAATCACCTCCACGTCATCATTATAAAAGCAGAGTGCGGGCACAAAGCTTTACTATTACAGGAACGCAGAATCAGCCTGTTGATGATAGAGGGTTGCTGTTAGGTTTGCTGGGTCTGATCATGTTGGAGATTTTTGTGTTTGCTCCTGTTTCTCCATCAAAAAGTACCAACCACTTTTTCACTCAAAGCTGTGACCACAAAGCAATTGTTTTCAAACCTACAGGAGGTTTGTTTTTCCAGTTTTGATTAAAAGAAAGGTTGTGCGATTCGGTATTTGTCATATGTCTTTGGCTTTATTTTCTTTGACTCTGTTCTGTTAGGAGTTTTCTTTCTTTTGATTATGAAAGCCTCCTTTGCATCCTTACATCTTGTTGTATTCTGTAGTCTGTTTGATCCACTTCATCACAAACTGATCTGGCTCACTAGTCAGCTTTAAGCTCTTAGACTTTATTTGCTTTGGTAGCCATATTGAGCTAGCCTTTTTCTGGAGCATGAAACCAACACACAATTTGTTAACATTGAGATGTTAAAGCTGCTTTGTCATTAATATTCATTTTGTTAACGGTTTCCCGCTAGAGCCACAGCCTCTTCTTACCGTCTGCCTTAAGTCTGCCTCAGGCTGATATCTTTACCTATCTCATATTCTCTCTCTGACTAGCTTCCTTTTCCCTCCACCAGTGAATCAAATAATATGCCTTTAATTAAAAGAAGTGAGAGGGAGCAAGTGCACTTCTACTGCCTACAGCTACATGTTCCTCCTGAGTGACATGGAAATACGGAAGTTAATGGACTTGGCTGCAGTCTGTGATATGAGAGATTATTTGGATGAGTTACTTTCTGAGGATGCATCTCTGTAAGATGAGTCAAATTCAGGCAGATGAGTCAAATTCAGGCATATTTTACAAAGCTGTGACCTGCACCCTGTGAAGTAGAGTTTTTATTTTTTTAACCAAATATGTAATTTCTTGTAAAATTTCTGATTTTCCTTTATCAGCCAAAAGCCCTGAACAATTTTCTTAATCCTGTTTACCTTCAGACCCCAACATCACCTGGGGAGTGATACAAAGCAACTCCCTGCCAGGACAACATGAGGGCGTAGCCCTTTTCTGGGGTACCCTGTCATGTGTCTGGTCCAAGAGTACTATTCCATTTACTGTTGTGTTTATATTGTGTTTTTTGTACTTCACACATTTAAATCTGACAAATTTGTCTCTCACTCTCTAAAGCCACATTTTCCATCATTTCCATCTATGAATGAAATCCTTGCTGCGTATCTTTGTACTCCTTCAGTCAGGGGCGCAGATAGGATTTTTAAACTGGGGGGGACAAAGTTCCAATGTACCCTCCCCCAAACACACACACACACACACACACACACACACACACACACACACACACACACACACACACACACACACACACACACACACACACAAACTATTGCAAGCACCTTAACTAGAGCTCAGTCAGTTTGTGTAATTTCATCCAATGGTTTATGTAAAAACTAACACTTTTATATACGTGTTTGAAGCCATTATGCAACAAAGCTCTGCCTGAGCAACACCATAAATAATAAATGATCCGCACTTGTATAGCGCCTCTCAGAGTAAGGACTCCAAAGCGCTTTACACTACAGTGTATCATTCATCCATTCACACAGACATTCACACACTGATGGTGATGAACTACGGTGTAGCCACAGCTGCCCTGGGGTGCACTGACAGAGGCGCCCCACTACTTAATTTAGTCATTTGTTATTCTCCCAGTCAATTACTAACCAAAACCTCATGCTTTATGCAAAACATGAAATGATTTTCAGCATACCAATCTTTACAGAAAACATAAAAACCCTAAAAAACTGCACATAATATATATTTAAAAAACAAAATTCACTTATCACTTAGAGCAGCGGTTCCCAAACTTCTCAGCCTGACTAACAGATGTTCCTTCGTATTTTTACATTATTTAGAATTTTTCATTATATTTGGAAAGCTTTTTTCATATATAAATATATAAATCTCTTTTAAAATTTTATATTTTACTTTTTTTATGATTATGTGGCACATTTGACTTCCAAACATAACGCATAGGCATCTGCCCCTGTTTACTGCTTTTTTTTACATTGTCGCTATGTCTGTCACGTTAGCGGTGTTTTACCATCATTTCTACATCCATCACGTCCCAAAGAAGGTTAAACAAACATCAAATCCAACGTTTGGAGCTTGTAAACTCCACACACCTCTCGTGCAGCACCAGCTGTCTGACACTGGCTGCAGCAGCGTCAATCTTCCCGGCTGGATGAGTGAATTTCTTCATCAGACTGAATAATCTGCTTCATAATCAGATTCAGTCATGACCAGACAAAGTGATCAGTCAACAAAGACCAGACCTGCCGGCAATTATACGTTTTATCTAATATTTGCCCTCTTCAAGTTGCGCTCATCTTCTCCTCTCCCCGACTAGGAGCCTCTCGGCGGGAGGCGATTTTCAAACACTAAAAACTCCAAAACTTTGCTCAGCCTGAAGGTTACACATCTCCACTATCTTCTGGTGTAAAGTAGTAACTTCATGAGGAATCATATTTGTAGATGAGACTTGTTCAAGTCAGCAATGAGGCTTTGGCGCTTTTAATGAGTAAGTCCCAACACTGACAACAACAACGTACTGAAACTAGAACCAACATGCATGTACAGACAGATCGGTCCCGCCTACTTCCACTGTTGGTCATTTTTAAATACGCAGTGATTGTTGCTTGCCTTTTTTGCTTCATCCTGCATCCTAGCAGCAACAACTTTGGCGCCTCTGGAGTCGGTGTTTGTTTACGTCATGCTGCATTCAATGTAATTGCAAAAAGGAGCTTCAAGAGCTTAACCTCCAATTTTGTTTTCTTTCTGGCCTTAGTGCGGGGGAGGATTTGGGTCGATCTGAATCTGGGGGGACAGATCCCCCCCATGCCCCACCCTATCTGTGCGCCTGCCTTTAGTCACAAGTGAATAAAATGTCATATTTTCGGGGTTTTTCTGCAACATATTCTTCAAGCTGCTCCATGTCTGCCACTAGATAATGTTGACTCTGTATTTTTTTGAGGAGGCAATGCTGGTGCTGTTGCTGTTGATGAATTTAAAGGATGCAGCGTTCTGGCCAATCACAAGCTTGCGGGCTCTGTCTTGTTTCGACGATGTTTTAAAAAGTGGGCTGGATTCCGTCCATCTTTGTGAGCCTGTTGTAGAGCCTTCACGGTGACGGATAATGGCGTTGTGTGTCTCTGTACCGTACTCATAGATTAGACTTTATTCCCACCGCTGAGAAATGTTGCGGACCCAGCGGACATCACTCACAGCCAAAACGGTCGCGACATGCTGACATTTTAGCAAAGTCCTGAAATCCCTCATTTTGTATGGATACACAACAGCTGAGAGGACAGAGACAAACCACAATGTCTTATAATGTCTAAAAATAGATTTGATAATGTTTCACAACCACTGTAAGCTGAATCATCAAACATTTTACTACAAAAGGAAAACTAAGGTATGAGGAGCACAAACTGGTATCAGTCCTGGGCCAGGATTTACTGCTTCAGTTATTATGTGTATCATTGGTGTGATTTTCTCCTCTCTCTTTAAAGGTCCCCCCGATCTTATTGGACAAGCAGTTTTCTGACTTCACCCCTGACATCACTCCCATCATCCTCGCTGCACACACCAACAACTATGAAATTATCAAGCTGCTGGTGCAGAAAGGTGTGTCCATGCCACAGCCTCATGAGGTGAGCAAACCAAACAACTCTGGGTGAAGCTGGGCATTACTAAATCTTATTTGTATTTACAATTTATTACATAAATCTGCACATAACTGAAAAGGTCAACAAGTCTTTAGTTTGTTCTAAACGTGTAACTGTAATGCCCAGATGATATAAAACTCAGCTGATATAATTAATTTTGAGCTCACCTTGCAAGACCAGAACATATCCCAGGACTAAACACAGGGAGGTCTCATTAAAATGTGTCCATGCTTTGTTTGATGTTGCAGGTGCGCTGCAACTGTGTGGAGTGTGTGTCAAGCTCAGACGTGGACAGCTTGCGGCACTCGCGCTCTCGCCTCAACATCTACAAAGCACTGTCAAGCCCCTCACTAATTGCACTCTCCAGCGAGGACCCCTTCCTCACCGCATTCAGGCTCAGCTGGGAGCTTCAGGAGCTCAGCAAGGTGAGGAAAAGAGAGACGGCTGTTACAGCAGAGACAATGACAGGGCGCAAAAATTAGATTTTAGAGATTTACAAAAGATTTTATGTTTGAGATGTATTTAGCAGAGTCCATTTTATGAAAATTATTGCTTTTATGAAAATTATTAATGAACCAACTGGATAAAAATAGGCAAATATTGAAAAAGATTGAAGTTTTTGAGCTTAACTGTTTAAAATAAAGACAAAGACTTCTCACCAAACTGTGTAATGTTTTCTGAATAAAAGGAGAGAAAACCTAAAGGCAAGATAACATTTCACATGGTGAAATTAAACCAATTCATGGGTTTACAGCTGCAGAGCCCAACAAAAACCTCAAAGCAGAAACAAATAATGCTGTAATTTTGTGAAAACTAATCTTCTAGAACAATCTTCTCCTCACACCAAGGGGGAAAAGCCGGCTTCCAAAAGTGAAGCTAATGCAAAAGTGACAGTTCCCCCCTTCATCCACCAGGGGATCCAGAAAGGAGCAAGTTACCATTGACTTACAAAACTATTTTAGATTTATGGGTCAAGTTTACCATCATAAAAACTCTGATGGGGGTGAATGTTTTTGTAACTCAGCTGTTCAGAGAATTATAAGTGCAATATGTGAGAATGACACCTTGTGGTCAAATTTGGTTACTGCAGTCCATTTTTCCAAGCCAAAAAAAATCACTTTCTCAATGCCAAACCGTGAGTTTCTTGGCTGTTGCTGGTAATGGATCAGCGCCAGAAGATTTTAGATCACAAGCAAAGACGACTTATACACAGTAGGTTAATAGATAGGATACATTGTCATATCTGGTGTTACTCTTGGGTGTTTAATGGTAGGGAACACTTATTATGGCAGTATGTCTCTGGCATTAGAGAAAGTGCAATTGTTATCTGTCTTGCTGTTGTTGTTCTGAACGACTATAGAGGGAGGAAAACACTGTGATTGACTCATTATTCACATCATACATACATTTCAATGTAAGATCAAGTCCTTGGTAATTGAAAAAGTAGCTTTATGTATCTTTAGAGCTGACTACTTCTAATCCACCAATAGTGTTTTTAGCTCAACGTTAGCCTCTAGCCTGCTCCACTCAATACTAAAAGAAAACAAAAAGATACCGTGGCTTATCGTTACAGGAAATAACTTCTGGGACGCTCCTGTTTACTGGCGTTGGCCCTTTAAACAATTCTGTTAGTAAACGACAAGTCGCTCAACTGTGATTTTCTAGCTAAAAGTGCCCACCAAACTATTAGCTTATGTTAGCTTCGGGTTAGTTCACTTAGCGTGTAGCCACATCGGCTCAGAGTTTAGAGGATGACAATCATCTGCTCCTTCTGGTACAGCCCCGTGCTCAGCCCCATCTTCCTTGTATTTTCCTGGAGTTGTGAGACGTGTGATGTGGCCAAGATGGCGGTGGTGGGAACTGCCTGTTGGGCTTTAATTCCACTCTTCATAAACCTACGGGTGGCTGAACTGAAACTCTGTTCATGGTATATACAGTATTTGCTTCACACCTGTAGATTTACATTTCCTGAGCACATTTTAGTAGATTATGATCAAGACAAACTAGCAGATGTTTAAATACTGGAGTTGGTCAGCTGTGTCAAACAAGTGCTCAAGGCAGACCTAACTCCCACATTTACATGTTACGTTTAACTATTAACTACAAAATGAAAGGATTATTTTCATGAAAATAAACACATGATTTAATTACATTAGCTGAATGAGCCGGGCTTTTAAATAAATTAATCAGTTCCTTGAGGGGGAGATTAAATTAAAGAAAAAACAACAACATTGGGCATATTTTACATAAATTTTCATTTTTATTTACTAATGACTGTTCAGTTAGATGAGACAGTCCTCCCAGATTAAAAGATGATAAGAATGAAGAAGCTTTTTAAAAATGTCAGAAAACAATGATAAAATGGGTCAATGACACCATGCAAACACATTTCAAAAACACCCTCCTACGTCTTTAGCTAAACGTTTTTTTTTTCTGATTCAGTACATTTATTTTGTTCCCACTCTACCTTTTTCCTGCCTTCCAGGTGGAGAATGAATTTAAATCAGAGTATGAAGAGCTTTCTCAGCAGTGCAAACAGTTTGCTAAGGATCTCCTGGACCAGACGAGGAGTTCCAGAGAGCTGGAAATGATCCTCAACTACAGAGATGACACCAACTTATTAGAAGAGGAGGGCAACAATGATCTTGCAAGGCTGAAATTGGCCATCAAGTACCACCAAAAAGAGGTATGATTGATGCGAAATGAGAGTAATTGCATTTAACACATTAAAGCTGGGGTCCGTAGTGTGATGATGTCAAGAAGAGGGGGAAATTTTGAACAGTTGTAGTTCCCGCCCCTTTAGGAAGGAGATGAAAACCACACCTCATTCCGCGCATGTATACGGAGAGTAGGGTTTACAGAGAGAGCTTAAAAGGAACCCAGATTGCAAAACCTTGTGGTTCTTAAAAATAATGTTAGAATCAGTTATATTAAAATGGTGTAAAAAACCTTCTTGATGTCTTCATTTTTTTTAAATTTGTTAAAAATTGTTTAACTTGTAGGTCACCATTGTTGTTAGCGTCGCAATGCACTCTGGGTAGCGACGTCAAATGGTTGTACCTCGGTTGCACCGGCCAGCTTTGCGACCCTTTAGTGACTGTTCAGTGACATCAACATGTCATCTGTTCAGCCTTTTCAATTTGAACCAGAGTGAAACAATAATGAGGACATCACTGACGATGTTTCACAAAACGGGCGTGAAAATGAAGAGGCGGGATGAAGCGAGTACATGACAAAACCGGTGGTGCGTGCGTGGAAATGTGTCTCCATGGTAACCGAGAGGGAGAGTGTTTGTTGTCAAGAGCTCACATGTTTGTCAGCAGAAGTCAACGGTAAACTATCGTGTGATCAAACTTATTCAATTATGAATGATTTTGGAGAATATTAGCATCCAGAGCTGCCGTGCCCTTTATAGATGATTAGGATATTCAGTGAAACGACTTGATCATTTTTGCAGATTATAAATCTGGAGAACACTGTGTTGCTACACTTACTGCTTGTTTTACTGATGGGAGAGGTGAATATTCAGCTTCATCTGTGACGAGTGGCGTGTCCGATGATTGGCTGAACGTGACAGAAGCAGCAGCTGCAGGAGCGGGTTGTCGGCTCAGGAGAGCGTCCAGCGTCTCTTGTCTCTCTGAGGGCGTTTAGGCTCCTTGTGTGGGAAAATATTCAGTAAAGCATTTAGTTTTCGCCTTCTCTTATACCCAGCCACTCTGGTGAGCTCTTAAAGTAGTTGTGGTCCACTATGAGCCTCAAACGCATCAGGAGAAAAATGTTGGGAACACAGCCGCGGATCTTTGGGAAGTTGTGTCCGTCCACAGGCATCTTCCCACTGCTTTCTCCTCTTCTTGCCAGGGGGAAAGCTCACATCACTCCCCTCTTTGCCCTCTGACTGGAAATTACATCCAAATGCAGCACAATGCGGCATTTTACTTAATTATTAATACGGTGAGTGCATAAACAAACACTAGCATCAGTAGCTATTCTTCCAAGAGCAACCAATATACATCATCGCCCTCAGAGTGCATTTGCGTGCGGAAAACATGGCGTCCTACATATGTCAAAAAATGTACTAAATTTATAGATTGATAAATAAACAGCAATATTTTGTGTGTTTCTAACAACATAGTTTTGTACAACAGAGAGCTTGTGGCTTATTAGGGCGTAAGGTTGAATGCTACGCTAATCACTTAGCTCCAATACACATAAATCCCTTTTCACTCCCCTCCCTGCTCTTCCATTCCACATTTAGCTTGAAGTTTACAGACTGACATCTATTCAATGCAAGTCAAGTTAGCATTCAAGCTAGCACCATATTAGTCTATGCTAAATGCAGCACACAACAATTAACTGCACTACTGTTTCCTCTATTTAAATAAAAGTTAGGTTACAATTCTCTAAAATATCTGTCCAAACTAAACGTTGCCATCTCTTCATCTGTTTTGAGCCCTTGTAGATCACGAAACTCCCTCCATCTTTTAAAAGCATCTCTAGTGTAATTTCTACTGGACTGAACGGCTTTTAAACTGATTAAGTTTTCTTTGAGGAGAAAGCATTTGAGTAATCTGTAACTTTAAGACGTGTTTGGTTGCTCCAGTGCAAACCTCCAGTTTCTTCCGTGCCACCCCACAGTGCATGCTGGGAACTGGGGTGTGCTCTCATTGATTGGCAGCTCCCTCTTGTGGACATCTACTGGTCAAAGCTCTAGGTTCATGTAAATGTTTTTGTTTTGCCGCAGAGGTTGGGGGAGGGACTTGGTGGAAATATACTTCATGAAAGATTATCTACTTTGTATCATAGAACAGGATCAGATGGTCAAATTTACCTATCTTTCAGTTACGTAAAATTCTCCAGGGAGCAAAATTATGTCTTAGTGCCAAAAACAAGCCTTGAGATTTTACTCTCACAGGTGGAGAGATTCTGGAAAGGGTATAATGCCTTCTCCGGGTCAGGGACGAGGTCCTGCCCCAAGTGGAGGAGTTTATGTATCTCGGGGTCTTGTTCACGAGTGAGGGAAACATGGAACATGAGATCGATAGGCGGGCTAGTGCTGCATCTGCAGTGATGCGGGCGGTGTACCAGTCTGTCGTGGTGAAGAGAGAGCTGAGTCATAAGGCGAAGCTCTCGATTTACCGGTCGATCTACGTTCCCACACCTATGGTCACAAGCTTTGGGTAGTGACCAAAAGAACGAGATTGCGGGTACAAGTGGCCAAAATGAGTTTTCTCCGCAGTGTCTGGTCTCTCCCTTAGGATAGGGTGAAAAGCTCGGTCATCCGGGAGGGGCTTGTAGTAGACCCGCTGATCCTCCAAATCGAGAGGAGCAAGTTGAGTTGGCTCGGGCATCTGATCAGGAAGCCTCCTGGATGCCTCCCTAGTGAGGTTTTCCGGGCACGTCCAACCGGGAGGAGACCTAAAGGTAGACCCAGGACACGCTGTAGGGACTATGTCTCTCACCTGGCCGGGGAACGCCTTGGGATTCCCCTGGAAGAGCTGGCCCAAGTGGCTGGGGAGAGAGAAGTCTGGGCCTCTTGACTTAGGCTACTGCCCCCACGAACTGACTCCGGATAAGTTGAAGAAAATGGATGGATTGAGGTGGAGTGTTATAGATTCAGTTATACTGCCCCACGAGATATCAAAACAGAAATGAAACAGAATGGGGGGAGAGGAAAGGAAGTATGGAGGGTCACAGAAATTTAAAAAAAGAATGTACAACAATCTGCTTCTAGACTTGCAGAAAGAGAGATAGGGAAAAAAGGGACACACAAAAATACAACAGAGTCAAGATATCATTGCATCAACCAGCATCAGGATCAGTAACTATTTTTGCTGAAAAGCACACAGTAATAATTTATTCATGGTGTATGTTGTGCCAACCACAGCCCAAGGTAATATCTCAAAAACATTCGAGTCCATATGTTGTGTATTTTTATAATTGTACCTTTTTGAGAACTAAAAGATGCCCATTTTGTGTTATTAAAACTTCATGAATCTCTGTGTTTGCCAACTGTTCATGAAAGGTTGAGCAAGGATGTTGATTGTGGATTTCCAAAGAAACCTCTGTACCACTGTAACCTGAGAAGGCCCCGCCTTCTCCTCCATCCATTGTGAACAAAGCCCCTGACGAACTAGGAGCACATGGGGAGTGACGGGGGGAAAGCCTCGGAGGAGGTTCCTCTGCGTTAACTCTCCATATTTTGGGGACTCAGGGTAAAATGTCTTCCTTGTTGTCATGTGTGTTTATTTCAGGTTCCAGGGTTATGGAGATTAAATATTACCTAACATCCTGGTCTCCTGATGGAGAATGCGGGTATGCAGAGCTGGTGAGGTGAATGCTTTAAGGCTGGAGCAGAGTGGGGGTTGGTTGGTTGAGTCCATTGTCTCGCATGTTGATTCGCGCACATGGACATTACAAATAATCAATTTACTCTCTCTCTCTCCGGGTGTGTCGTCCTTTAAGGTAATATGGGATAAATCTAAAATTACCTATCACCATACTTGTGAGAGCTTCATGTGAGCATCTGTATTAGTACACGCGATTGTGTATCTTGTGGTTTCTCTACAAGACTGTCCAATAGTGAGTGTGAGGGCCACTGACCCCCCCCCCCCCCCCCCCAGTCCCGTGGATCCAAACCCCAGAAAAAAAGTTGTTGTTTTGTAACAGAGAAATTATATTTTTTTTCGCTGTTAGTACACACACACACACACACACACAGCACATTACTGCGCATTTATCACCTATGTGAGACTCTAAAATCATCGTCATAGGATTTTAAATAGTGCAATCTGAGATTTCATTCCCTCTTTGGTTTTCCTCAAGATACTGCACGATCTTTCAAATCCTGCACACCCCAGGTAGAATTCACCTTATGCTGCTATGGGAACACTGCCAAGTCTAAAACATCAGCTGCATCAAGCCAGCATTTTCTCACAGGTGTTACTGCCAGCAACAATGATGTCGGATCAGCATCACATTTAACATCCTAAGACTTCAGCCTTGATTTTGTCAGTTTTAGCTTTCGTGGCAAAAACAACTCAAAGGCTGTTTCCTACATCTGACTTAGTCAAGACAAAATTAGATTCCAGAGGAAAGCAGCAGCATGTGGTGCTTCATGCATGAGCTCTATAATGATCTGTCATGTCAGATTTAAAACAAATATTGCACATCTGTTTGTGAACCAGGATAGGATGAAATATGGAAACGGTGATAGGGAAGATGCCTTCCTGCTTTTACCAGATCCTGCCAGACAAACAGATCCACACACGTATGCAGAAACATGAAAATGAGAATGAATTGGCCCCAACATTAAACACGTCACATGTTATGCTGTCATGTTCAATCTACTCAACTATAATCCAAACAAATAAGGAACCATCTGAAGATAGAAGAGTAAAAGTGGTTGCCAGTGCAATACACTATAAATACATTCAGCCATGACAACATTGCACACTCTATTTTAGCTTTTAAATCTGAAATGCAGGATATTTGTTCTTTGAGACCATTTTTCTAAATGATTAGTGTTTAAAATGAAAACTTGTCAATCACAGTGTAGCTAAGAACATTTCGTATTGTTCATTTTCATTCTGATGCAGTCATAATATAAAAATACAAGTAAGGAAAAAGACTTTAATACAGCAGCTCAGACCGCGGACTTATTCATAAAATACTGAACGTTTCTGTAGA